GAGGGAGTGATCTAGGGTGAGGCACTGTGAGGGAGTGATCTGGGGTGAGGCACAGTCCACTGTGAGGGAGTGATCTAGGGTGAGGCACTGTGAGGGAGTGATCTGGGGTGAGGCACAGTCCACTGTGAGGGAGTGATCTGGGGTGAGGCACTGTGAGGGAGTGATCTAGGGTGAGGCACAGTCCACTGTGAGGGAGTGATCTAGGGTGAGGCACTGTGAGGGAGTGATCTAGGGTGAGGCACTGTGAGGGTGATCTAGGGTGAGGCACTGTGAGGGAGTGATCTAGGGTGAGGCACTGTGAGGGGAGTGATCTGGGGTGAGGCACTGTGAGGGAGTGATCTAGGGTGAGGCCCTGTGAGGGAGTGATCTAGGGTGAGGCACTGTGAGGGAGTGATCTAGGGTGAGGCACTGTGAGGGAGTGATCTGGGGTGAGGCACTGTGAGGGAGTGATCTAGGGTGAGGCACTGTGAGGGAGTGATCTGGGGTGAGGCACTGTGAGGGAGTGATCTAGGGTGAGGCACTGTGAGGGAGTGATCTGGGGTGAGGCACAGTCCACTGTGAGGGAGTGATCTAGGGTGAGGCACTGTGAGGGAGTGATCTGGGGTGAGGCACAGTCCACTGTGAGGGAGTGATCTAGGGTGAGGCACTGTGAGGGAGTGATCTGGGGTGAGGCACTGTGAGGGAGTGATCTAGGGTGAGGCACAGTCCACTGTGAGGGAGTGATCTAGGGTGAGGCACTGTGAGGGAGTGATCTGGGGTGAGGCACTGTGAGGGAGTGATCTGGGGTGAGGCACAGTCCACTGTGAGGGAGTGATCTGGGGTGAGGCACTGTGAGGGAGTGATCTAGGGTGAGGCACAGTCCACTGTGAGGGAGTGATCTAGGGTGAGGCACTGTGAGGGAGTGATCTAGGGTGAGGCACTGTGAGGGAGTGATCTAGGGTGAGGCACTGTGAGGGAGTGATCTAGGGTGAGGCACAGTGAGGGAGTGATCTAGGGTGAGGCACTGTGAGGGAGTGATCTGGGGTGAGGCACTGTGGGGGATGTGAGGGGTGATCTAGGGTGAGGCCCTGTGAGGGAGTGATCTAGGGTGAGGCACTGTGAGGGAGTGATCTAGGGTGAGGCACTGTGAGGGAGTGATCTGGGGTGAGGCACTGTGAGGGAGTGATCTAGGGTGAGGCACTGTGAGGGAGTGATCTGGGGTGAGGCACTGTGAGGGAGTGATCTGGGGTGAGGCACTGTGAGGGAGTGATCTGGGGTGAGGCACTGTGAGGGAGTGATCTGGGGTGAGGCACTGTGAGGGAGTGATCTAGGGTGAGGCACTGTGAGGGAGTGATCTGGGGTGAGGCACAGTGAGGGAGTGATCTGGGGTGAGGCACTGTGAGGGAGTGATCTAGGGTGAGGCACTGTGAGGGAGTGATCTAGGGTGAGGCACAGTCCACTGTGAGGGAGTGATCTGGGGTGAGGCACTGTGAGGGAGTGATCTAGGGTGAGGCACTGTGAGGGAGTGATCTGGGGTGAGGCACTGTGAGGGAGTGATCTAGGGTGAGGCACTGTGAGGGAGTGATCTGGGGTGAGGCACTGTGAGGGAGTGATCTAGGGTGGGACAGCAGCGCTGGAAAAATAGAATCTCAGCGATTTTGACTCCTAAAATGATCAAAACTGGTCGGAACGAATGCCGGAAATACATTAAAAGCACAGGACACTGGAAAACTATTATAAATTACAACTAAAATAATTTGTTTAATGATGGCGCTGCCTCGCCTGACTGCACCTCATTGAAGTCCCAAACTGTTTTCGAAGCTTACGTGTCCTGTAAAACTTTGAAATATATAATAATAAAATTGAGATTTTGAATCCAATTTATAAATTATTTTTCATCCCATTATAAGCCATGCTGCTGGATTAATTAATTGTGGTTAGCCATGCTTCTATGTTCAATATAAGATAACTACATGTACATGTTGATATGTCATTATATAACAAAAATCTGATCATTAAAAAAACTTTCACAAAAGTCTTTAATTCAGCTTCAATAAATAAATAACTACAAAAATATTTTTTTACAACATTTACAATTTTACAGATTTTTTTTACAGTTGTTTTATGTACATTTATTTACTGCTACATACTAGAGTCACCTGAACACACCAGTCTGAGTACTACTACAAACACTACAGGAGGCAGAGCTATTGTGATGTCACACCTCAGGTGGCAGGGCTATAGTGATGTCACACCTCAGGTGGCAGGGCTATAGTGATGTCACACCTCAGGTGGCAGGGCTATTGTGATGTCACACCTCAGGTGGCAGGGCTATAGTGATGTCACACCTCAGGTGGCAGGGCTATAGTGATGTCACACCTCAGGTGGCAGGGCTATAGTGATGTCACACCTCAGGTGGCAGGGCTATTGTGATGTCACACCTCAGGTGGCAGGGCTATAGTGATGTCACACCTCAGGTGGCAGGGCTATAGTGATGTCACACCTCAGGTGGCAGGGCTATAGTGATGTCACACCTCAGGTGGCAGGGCTATAGTGATGTCACACCTCAGGTGGCAGGGCTATAGTGATGTCACACCTCAGGTGGCAGGGCTATAGTGATGTCACACCTCAGGTGGCAGGGCTACAGTCACCTTCTCTTTCACCAGGACTCTTACATTTCACACGACACATGTTACTTTAATTTTAAAGGAGAGGTATTCTTTAAGAATATTGTTTGATATTTATTTGATATACAGTGGCTTGCGAAAGTATTCGGCCCCCTTGAACCTTTCAACATTTTGCCACAATTCAGGCTTCAAACATAAGGATATAAAAATATATTTTTTGTCAAGAATCAACAACAAGTGGGACACAATCGTGAAGTGGAACGAAATTTATTGGATAATTTAAACCTTTTTAACAAATAAAAAACTGAAAAGTGGGGCGTGCAATATTATTCGGCCCCTTGCGCTAATCCTTTGTAGCAGTAAGTAGTAGTAAGTAGTAAGTAATCTTTATTTATATACCGCCTTTTCACTGCACATCGGAGTCTCAAAGCGGTTTACAATTGTTATTTTTGGGAGTGGGGCCAGTACAGGAGGCACATGCCAGACCTATTGTACATATTTTTAGTGGTAGGGGAAACCGGAGCACCCGGAGGAAACCTACGCAGACACGGGGAGAACATGCAAACTCCACTCAGAAAGGCCCTGGTCCAACCGGGATTCGAACCCAGGACCTTCTTGCTGAGAGGCTAGAGTGCTATCCACTCAGCCACCGTGCCGCCACCTTTTGCTGCAATTACAGCTGCAAGTCGCTTGGGGTATGTCTCTATCAGTTTTGCACATCGAGAGACTGGAATTCTTGCCCATTCTTCCTTGCAAAACAGCTGGAGCTCAGTGAGGTTGGATGGAGAGCGTTTGTGAACAGCAGTCTTCAGCTCTTTCCACAGATTCTGGATTGGATTCAGGTCTGGACTTTGACTTGGCCATTCTAACACCTGGATACGTCTATTTGTGAACCATTCCATTGTAGATTTGGCTTTATGTTTTGGATCATTGTCCTGTTGGAAGATAAATCTCCGTCCCAGTCTCAGGTCTTTTGCAGACTCCAACAGGTTTTCTTCCAGAATGGTCCTGTATTTGGCTCCATCCATCTTCCCATCAATTTTAGCCATCTTCCCTGTCCCTGCTGAAGAAAAGCAGGCCTAAAGCATGATGCTGCCACCACCATGTTTGACAGTGGGGATGGTGTGTTCAGGGTGATGAGCTGTGTTGCTTTTACACCAAACATATCGTTTTGCATTGTGGCCAAAAAGTTTGATTTTGGTTTCATCTGACCAGAGCACCTTCTTCCACATGTTTGGTGTGTCTCCCAGGTGGCTTGTGGCAAACTTTAAACCAGACTTTTTATGGATATCTTTGAGAAATGGCTTTCTTTTTGCCACTCTTCCATAAAGGCCAGATTTTGTGCAGTGCACGACTGATTGTTGTCCTATGGACAGACTCTCCCACCTCAGCTGTAGTTATCTGCAGTTCATCCAGAGTGATCATGGGCCTCTTGGCTGCATCTCTGATCAGTCTTCTCCTTGTTTGAGATGAAAGTTTGGAAGGACGGCCGAGTCTTGGTAGATTTGCAGTGGTCTGATACTCCTTCCATTTCAATATAATTGCTTGCACAGTGCTCCTTGAGATGTTTAAAGCTTGGGAAATCTTTTTGTATCCAAATCCGGCTTTAAACTTGTCCACAACAGTATCTCGGACCTGCCTGGTGTGTTCCTTTGTCTTCATGGTTCTCTCTGTGCTTTAAACAGAACCCTGAGACTATCAAAGAGCAGGTGCATTTATACGGAGACTTGATTACACACAGGTGCATTCTATTTATCATCATCAGTCATTTAGGACAACATTGGATCATTCAAAGATCCTCACTGAACTTCTGGACTGAGTTTGCTGCACTGAAAGTAAAGGGGCCCAATAATATTGCACGCCCCACTTTTCAGGTTTTTATTTGTTAAAAAAGTTTAAATTATCCAATAAATTTTGTTCCACTTCACGATTGTGTCCCACTTGTTGTTGATTCATGACAAAACATTTAAATATTATATCTTTATGTTTGAAGCCTGAAATGTGGCGAAATGTTGAAAGGTTCAAGGGGGCCGAATACTTTCGCAAGGCACTGTATTTCAAATAGACCTGAAGTTGTTTTTAATTATATTCACGGAACCTATGTCCCTCCGCTTCCGAAACAAAATGCAAACTAGTAAATGGCTGGTGAGGGTTTGGCTCTAATAATGCGAGTAAAACAAAAGCCCAAAATAGTCTGCGAAAGGCGCTATATATATATAACTTCCTCAGTGCCAAAAATAGTGCACCATACGTCTCCTTTAAGGCCTTGAACTTTCATCAAATGTAACACTGTTTTATTGATAACTCTGGGGCCTGTAGACAAAGGGTAGTAGTGGCACATCATGGCTCCTCTCCTCTCCCTGACCCCACCCTTCCGCACTCTGGCTCCGCCCATCAGCTCAGTGGCTCCTCCCCTGAGCACATGGACTCTTCTCCGGAGCTGAGTGTGTCCGAGTCCTCACTGTTAAACAAACACAATATTGGTTATCACACATTCACAGAAAATGTATGTAGCTATTTTGGCGTTCTCAAATTAGCAACAACATTAAATCATCATCAGAAGCTGCGTTTCCATTGAATAATGCGCAAAAACTTTTTCGATACAGGTTTTTCGAATTTTGAAATGTAATTCGCAAAAGTGGCCGTTTCCATTAAGACATATTCGAATAAGTTTACACTATTTTCGCGCGTTTATTCACTAGTTTCTAGTACGTCAACATGGCAACAGAAGTAAACAACACTTTGATTTACGTGAGATATATTAATGTCTTCACTTCTGCTGCGGCTCTCATCCTCTCTGACCTCTGACCCCGGGAGAAACTGTGGCTGCTTTGACAGCTCCGCGAACGCCGTGGTCATGTACCGAGCGCGGACCATAGACGCGCGCACAGAACCATAGACACGGGTCTTGCCTGTCTCCCCCGTCTCTCCCCCGCCTCTCCCCCGTCTCTCCCCCGTCTCTCCCCCGTCTCTCCCCCATGCCTCTCCCCCGTCTCTCCCCCATGCCTCTCCCCCGTCTCTCCCCCGCCTCCCCGTCTCTCCCCCGTCTCTCCCCATGCCTCTCCCCCGTCTCTCCCCCATGCCTCTCCCCCGTCTCTCCCCCGCCTCTCCCCCGTCTCTCCCCCGTCTCTCCCCCGCCTCTCCCCCATGCCTCTCCCCCGTCTCTCCCCCGTCTCTCCCCCATGCCTCTCCCCCGTCTCTCCCCCATGCCTCTCCCCCGTCTCTCCCCCGTCTCTGCCCCATGCCTCTCCCCCGTCTCTCCCCCGTCTCTCCCCCGTCTCCTCCCCGCCTCTCCCCCGTCTCTCCCCCATGCCTCTCCCCCATGCCTCTCCCCCGTCTCTCCCCCGTCTCTTCCCCGTCTCTCCCCCATGCCTCTCCCCCGTCTCTCCCCCGTCTCTCCCCCATGCCTCTCCCCCGTCTCTCCCCCATGCCTCTCCCCCGTCTCTGTCTCCCCATGCCTCTCCCCCGTCTCTCCCCCGTCTCTCCCCCGTCTCCTCCCCGCCTCTCCCCCGTCTCTCCCCCATGCCTCTCCCCCATGCCTCTCCCCCGTCTCTCCCCCGTCTCTCCCCCGTCTCTTCCCCGTCTCTCCCCCATGCCTCTCCCCCGTCTCTCCCCCATGCCTCTCCCCCGTCTCTCCCCCATGCCTCTCCCCCGTCTCTCCCCCATGCCTCTCCCCCGTCTCTCCCCCATGCCTCTCCCCCGTCTCTCCCCCATGCCTCTCCCCCATGCCTCTCCCCCGTCTCTCCCCCGTCTCTCCCCCATGCCTCTCCCCCGTCTCTCCCCCGTCTCTCCCCCGTCTCCTCCCCGTCTCTCCCCCGTCTCTCCCCCATGCCTCTCCCCCGTCTCTTCCCCGTCTCTCCCCCATGCCTCTCCCCCGTCTCTCCCCCATGCCTCTCCCCCGTCTCTCCCCCATGCCTCTCCCCCATGCCTCTCCCCCGTCTCTTCCCCGTCTCTCCCCCGTCTCTTCCCCGTCTCTCCCCCATGCCTCTCCCCCATGCCTCTCCCCCGTCTCTTCCCCGTCTCTCCCCCATGCCTCTCCCCCGTCTCTTCCCCGTCTCTCCCCCATGCCTCTCCCCCGTCTCTTCCCCGTCTCTTCCCCGTCTCTCCCCCATGCCTCTCCCCCGTCTCTTCCCCGTCTCTCCCCCATGCCTCTTCCCCGTCTCTTCCCCGTCTCTTCCCCGTCTCTCCCCCATGCCTCTCCCCCGTCTCTCCCCCGTCTCTCCCCCATGCCTCTCCCCCGTCTCTCCCCCATGCCTCTCCCCCGTCTCTCCCCCGTCTCTCCCCCATCTCTCCCCCGTCTCTCCCCCGTCTCTCCCCCATGCCTCTCCCCCGTCTCTCCCACGTCTCTCCCCCGTCTCTCCCCCATCTCTCCCCCGTCTCTCCCCCGTCTCTCCCCCATCTCTCCCCCGTCTCTCCCCCGTCTCTCCCCCATGCCTCTCCCCCGTCTCTCCCCCGTCTCTCCCCCATGCCTCTCCCCCGTCTCTCCCCCGTCTCTCCCCCGTCTCTCCCCCATGCCTCTCCCCCGTCTCTCCCCCGTCTCTCCCCCGTCTCTCCCCCATGCCTCTCCCCCGTCTCTCCCCCGTCTCTCCCCCGTCTCTCCCCCATGCCTCTCCCCCGTCTCTCCCCCGTCTCTCCCCCGTCTCTCCCCCATGCCTCTCCCCCGTCTCTCCCCCATGCCTCTCCCCCGTCTCTCCCCCGTCTCTCCCCCGTCTCTCCCCCATGCCTCTCCCACGTATCTCCCAAGTCTCACACGAAGCGCAGCCAAAACTCACTGAATAAAGCTCAGCTCGGCTTCCTCCGCTATATCGAAATAAGTGTTTCCATTGCCGCCGTTTTGCGAAAAACTTAATTTCGATACGTCCAAAAAACCACCGATTTTAAGCGCGTTAACTTTTTATTGAAAAACTGTGGTTTATTCGAAATTTGCGCGTTTCCATTAGACATTTTATGATGCGCAAATTCAAATTTCGAAATTTGATGCTCAATGGAAACGCAGCTTATAACCAGCAATATGTCAGATCTGTTTACTTTTGAATGCGCTGGAAAACAGCTGCAAGTCCTGAGTTGCTCTGAAACAGTTGTTGTTATGTGCTCTTGAATGTTTTTTTATTGCTTTTTTTCTACCTGAGATGTTGCTGCAGTACAGTGTTCATGGTCTTGTACTGGTCCAGACCGGAGCAGAGAGGATTCATGGTCCAAACCAAGTGGATCAGGTGAAAATCCACTGGAGGAATGCTAACTTTTTGAAAAATGTGAATAAAGCATTTTTCAATTTACTTTGGACTAGAGCAGAGAAAATTGTCCGAACCAAGCGGCTACTCCACCTCTGCTGCTGTGACCCGTCCTGCTCCACCCAGAGGCTACTCCACCTCTGCTGCTGTGACCCGTCCTGCTCCACCCAGAGGCTACTCCACCTCTGCTGCTGTGACCCGTCCTGCTCCACCCAGAGGCTACTCCACCTCTGCTGCTGTGACCTGTCCTGCTCCACCCAGAGGCTACTCCACCTCTGCTGCTGTGACCCGTCCTGCTCCACCCAGAGGCTACTCCACCTCTGCTGCTGTGACCTGTCCTGCTCCATTCAGAGGCTACTCCACCTCTGCTGCTGTGACCTGTCCTGCTCCACCCAGAGGCTACTCCACCTCTGCTGCTGTGACCTGTCCTGCTCCACCCAGAGGCTACTCCACCTCTGCTGCTGTGACCTGCTCCACCCAGAGGCTACTCCACCTCTGCTGCTGTGACCCGTCCTGCTCCACCCAGAGGCTACTCCACCTCTGCTGCTGTGACCTGTCCTGCTCCACCCAGAGGCTACTCCACCTCTGCTGCTGTGACCTGTCCTGCTCCATCCAGAGGCTACTCCACCTCTGCTGCTGTGACCCGTCCTGCTCCACCCAGAGGCTACTCCACCTCTGCTGCTGTGACCTGTCCTGCTCCACCCAGAGGCTACTCCACCTCTGCTGCTGTGACCTGTCCTGCTCCATCCAGAGGCTACTCCACCTCTGCTGCTGTGACCCGTCCTGCTCCACCCAGAGGCTACTCCACCTCTGATGCTGTGACCTGTCCTGCTCCACCCAGAGGCTACTCCATCTCTGCTGCTGTGACCTGTCCTGCTCCACCCAGAGGCTACTCCACCTCTGCTGCTGTGACCCGTCCTGCTCCACCCAGAGGCTACTCCACCTCTGCTGCTGTGACCTGTCCTGCTCCACCCAGAGGCTACTCCACCTCTGCTGCTGTGACCTGTCCTGCTCCACCCAGAGGCTACTCCACCTCTGCTGCTGTGACCCGTCCTGCTCCACCCAGAGGCTACTCCACCTCTGCTGCTGTGACCCGTCCTGCTCCACCCAGAGGCTACTCCACCTCTGCTGCTGTGACCTGTCCTGCTCCACCCAGAGGCTACTCCACCTCTGCTGCTGTGACCTGTCCTGCTCCACCCAGAGGCTACTCCACCTCTGCTGCTGTGACTCTAAGGGCTGTTACTGATTATTACTATTTTTAGCTTTTTAGAATGATCAATTTAATTTTGTATTTTTGTTGCTACTGGACACCTAAATTTCTCAGACGGGGATCAATAAAGTATCTATCTAGATCCTTGAATCCTTGAATGCAGAAGCGTTCAGCAGACACTCGGCTTTCAACCGCTGGCTGTCTGGCTGGTGCCCTCCAAGTGGTGTTGTTCATGTTGACAATTGGAGTGCCTTTTGGGGAAAGCCCGGTCTCATCCGCTCGGATGATATCCACCCAACGTTGGCGGGTACATCCCTTTTGGCTAAGAATTTGGCCCTGGCTCTAAACTGTTCTGCCCGGCTCAAATGACGATGCAGAACTGAGGCCCGGGTGCAGAGCTGCTCTGCCACAACCTCTGAGCCCCCATCTGTTCAGTTACTAGCCTCAGAAGCTAGTCAGATTGAAACTGTGTGTGCATGTGTGTGTGTGCCTGTGTGTGCTCAGTTACTAGCCTCAGAAGCTAGTCAGATTGAAACTGTGTGTGTTCCCCGCTTGAAGTCTAAAGCACTATATGCGAGGAAATCTGACCTAGGTGTCAGACACAGTAACTTAATAAAAGTTCAGACAGACAGAAATAGTTCTAGCGGTAGGGTTGTTAAATGTGGTTTAATGAACGTCAGATCAATCTCGTCTAAATCGCTTCTCATAAACGAACTTATTATAGACAAGGGCTTGGATCTGTTAGCGCTCTCGGAGACTTGGCTCCAACAGGACGACTACGTTAGATTGAATGAGTGCACTCCTCCAACGCATGTTAACTACCAGAAAGCCAGAGCTACAGGTCGCGGCGGTGGTGTTGCGATTATATCACACACCAACTTGGTTCTTAGTCCCAAAACCAACAATGCTTTTCACTCGTTTGAAAACTTAACACTTTCAATCACCTGTCCTGGGTGGAGAAAACAAAAAGCAGTACTATTTATAGTTTTATACCGACCTCCTGGTCCTTACAGCGAGTTCCTAACAGAATTCTCTGACTTCATTTCAAACCTAGTTTTCGAATGGGAAAACATAGTTATAGCTGGAGACTTCAATATACATGTGGACGACAGCACTGACAGCTTAAACAAAGCTTTCAGCGCCGTACTAGATGGTGTTGGTTTTACTCAGAATGTTGAGGAACCTACTCACATTCATAACCACACCTTGGACCTTGTCCTGACCTACGGCTGTGATGTCTCCAATGTTGACATCCAGCGTCAAAGCTCGTTGCTGTCTGACCATTTCTTGATCACGTTTGATCTCGCTTTGGAGGACTTTCCTGTCCCGCAAGATAAAACCATAATGAAAAGAACCTTAAATGATAAATCTATCACAAGGTTCAAAGAACTAATACAGCCTATGTTGAATACTGCTGCAGGTGAACCTGTTCACAGCAGCTGCAGTCCCTCAGTCATTGACCAAACGGTGGGCAACACTATGGAGTCTTTAAAATCTGCATTAAATGCAGCAGCTCCTTTAAAACAGAAAACCATTAGGATTAGATCATCGTCGCCCTGGTACAGTGTTCAACTCCACACTTTAAAACAGGACGTCAGAAAATTGGAGAGGCTATATCGCCACTCCCACTCGGAGCCTGTCCACAGGGAGTGGAAAGCAGGTCTCCGAAACTACAAGAAGGCCCTTCGCGGGGCTCGAACTCAATACTATTCAACTTTAATAGAAGCGAATAAAAACAACAGTAGATTTTTGTTTGGTACCGTCGCTAAACTCACAAACTGCCATAGCGCTATCGAGCCTAAAATTCCAAGCTCACTGAGCAGTGTCGACTTTCTCCACTTCTTTAATAATAAAATTACATCCATCCGTGACAAACTGGAGGAGGTTGCTCCTGCTGTTAGTGGTGGACAGGCTGAAGCGGCATACGTGACTTCCCACTTAGACTCTTCAGTGGGCCTCGATAAATTCATGGCTGTGAGCCAAGCAGAGGTGATCTCTGTGGTCACATCCTCAAAAGCCTCAACTTGCATGTTAGACGCAGTCCCGACATGGCTCTTCAAAGACATACTTCCTTTGATAATTGAGCCTATCGTAAATATAATAAACGCATCCATACAATGTGGCTATGTCCCACAAGCTTTTAAAACCGCGGTAATCAAACCCCTTCTGAAGAAAACAAACCTGGACCCAGAAATACTTACAACTACAGACCGATCTCGAACCTCACTTTTATATCTAAAATCCTGGAAAAACTTATAGCTGAGCAGCTCCGCTGCCACCTGCAGGAAAATAATATGTTTGAAGTCTTTCAATCAGGATTCAGAGCTCATCATAGCACTGAAACGGCACTAGTCAAAGTCACAAATGACTTACTACTAGCTGCCGATAATGGACAAGTGTCAGTGCTGGTCCTACTGGACCTTAGTGCTGCATTTGACACAATAGACCACAGCATTCTACTGCAGAGGCTAGAATGTGATATAGGTCTTAGAGGAACAGCCCTTGGCTGGTTTAAATCCTATTTATCAGATCGATATCACTTCGTCAATGTGAATCAGGACTCGTCGCCTTATTCTGGAGTGGAATTCGGTGTGCCGCAGGGTTCGGTACTCGGACCGATTCTTTTTACTCTCTACATGCTGCCGTTAGGAAACATTATTAAAAAGCATGGAATTAATTTCCACTGCTATGCAGATGACACACAGCTTTATCTGTCGATGAAGCCTAACCAGACAGATCAGCTAGAAAAGCTCAGTGCCTGCATAAAGGACCTTAAAATGTGGATGACTCTTAACTTCCTACTTCTCAACCCGGAGAAGACAGAAGTGATCCTACTCGGTCCGAAGCGCCTGCGTGACTCCCTCACTAACCAGATAATTACTCTCGATAATGTCAGTATTATACCCAGTAACACTGTGAGGAATCTTGGAGTCATTTTTGACCAAGAACTCTCCTTCAAGGCTTATATAAGCCAAGCAACTAAAACGGCGTACTTCCACTTACGGAACATCGCTAAAATTAGGAATTTCCTTCCTAAAAGTGACGCGGAAAAACTCATTCACGCGTTTGTCACCTCAAGGCTCGACTACTGTAACGCTTTACTGGCAGCGTGCCCTAAAGCCTCTTTGAAGAGCTTCCAGCTCGTTCAGAATACAGCAGCTAGGATCTTAACAGGTACCAAAAGGAGGGAGCACATAACTCCGGTGTTAAAATCACTCCACTGGCTCCCTGTGGAGTACAGAATAAAGTTTAAAATCCTACTCTTAACATATAAAGCCATAAATGGCTTGGCTCCTTCTTATCTCCAAGACACGTTAGTGTCGTATCAACCAAGTCGAGCGTTGCGCTCACAAAACGCCAGACGTCTGGTGGTCCCTAAGGTCTCTCAAAGGTCACTGTTGGTGGCAGAGAATTTAGCTCCAAGCTCCTTTACTGTGGAATCAGCTTCATTTATGTTAAGGAAGCAGATACGGTCTCCACATTCAAGGCCAGGCTTAAAGCACTCTACTTTAATTGAGCATATAGTTAGGCTGTTTGCCTGGATTGGTTTGCACACTTGGTGTGCAATCCATGAATCTTGGTGCTGTAGCCTAGCCGTGGCTGCTGCTGTCTCACCTTTCAGATACGCTCTCTTTATTCAAGGCTAGGTTTAAAACAGTCCTCTTTAGTTTAGCATATGGCTAGGAAGGTAAGACTCGGAGAAGGTTAAACTCCTCAGACTGTCAGTCAAGCTGCATAGGGAGCCCCCTGCTGGAGAAGTATGGTAACTTGAGCACTATCCTCTCCTCCTTCCTACTTTATCTGTTTAGCATTTTTAGGATTCTGACTGTAGTTTGTTCATTGCTATTCACCCGTTGTCCCATTGTCTGTTTCATGGTACGATGACGGGATCTCTGAGCCTGGCCTCTTCCATCTACACCTGCGGACTGCCCCGCCCGACCCGCCTGGGAGTGCTTCAGTCCTGCACCGGACCTGTCCACGTTCAGCGTCCACTGGTCCACGTTCTGTAGCTAGCTTAGGTCCTAGATCATTAGTCTGTCCGTCCGGAGGAGCGGATCCCTTTCTCATATGGGTCTCCCTCCCTGTGGGTTTCCCTAGTTCTCCTCCAAGGTTTCTCACTTTTTCCCACTGGGTTTTTTAAGAGTTGTTCCTTGTGGATGCAGGAGGGTCTTGTTGGACAGTTAGTGTCCAACAGAAAGGATTGGTGATGATCAGGACACTTTAGCATTCTACAACATGTATGGACATGTTCTTCTGTGTGTGCTTTATATTCTTCATGTGTTTTAACTGTTGATTCTCTGACCTGTGTTGGTGATTTCAATGGTTTTGTTAAGTCTCTGAGATGACTTCTGTTGTGACTTAGGGCTATACGGGCGGCACAGTGGCTGAGTGGATAGCACTCTCGCCTCTCAGCAAGACGGTTCTGGGTTCGAATCCCGGTCGGACCAGGGCCTTTCTGAGTGGAGTTTGCATGTTCTCCCCGTGTCTGCGTAGGTTTCCTCCGGGTACTCCGGTTTCCCCTACCACTAAAAATATGTACAATAGTTCTGGCATGTGACTCCTGTTCGGCGACCCCGCTCCCATCTCTGTGTGGAGTGAGAGACAAGTGCCCAAAAAATAACAATTGTAAACCGCTTTGAGACTCTGTCTGTGAAGGGCGGTATATAAATAAACATTACTTACTTACTTACTATACAAGAATAAATTGTATTGTATTGTATTGTAAGATCTATGATGATGCCGTGAAAGGTGTTATGGCAACAATGGAAACCTCTTCTGTGTGATGTCACACACTGACCTGTTGTGGTCCCAGTTGCTCTCTGGGATGGTGGGCAGCTCGGGCACAGTGCGGGTGGCGTGCAGAGTGTGAGCGGTGCGGCGGGAGATGACCCACTGCAGCCGCCGGTGGTCAGGTTTGGTGCAGTGTGCAGAGGAGTAGACTGAGAGGCAACAGGCCACGCGCTCCCCCCAGCAGCTCAGCTCCGACTTCCGGATCTGAAAAAAGGACCAGGGTGAGTAAAGCATCGTCACAACCAGCAACTGCTATCTCTCACAGTCAGGGTAAAAGATTGTTCAAACTCGTGAAACCATATTTATACTTCTGTGTAATTCAAAAAAAAATGTATTCTTTATTTTTATTATCTCTTTCTGACTGTTGCACTGAGCCAAAGCAATTTCCAAGTCTGTGACTTCCTGTTACTTACATGGCAATAAAAATGATTCTGATTCTGAATATGTTTAAATAGAATCAATTAACGGCAGAACACATTCATTGTGGTCAACTAAGATGGAAGAAACACAATTTACTGCATGAATCCTGGGTCTACGGCCTCAGTCCTGGGTCTACGGCCTCAGTCCTGGGTCTACGGCCTCAGTCCTGGGTCTACGGCCTCAGTCCTGGCCTCAGTCCTGGATCTACGTACTGGGTCTACGGCCTCAGTCCTGGGTCTACGGCCTCAGTCCTGGGTCTACGGCCTCAGTCCTGGGTCTACGGCCTCAGTCCTGGATCTACGGCCTCAGTCCTGGATCTACGTACTGGGTCTACGGCCTCAGTACTGGGTCATTTCTTGCAGCCTACCTTGAGGTGTCTCTGGATCTGTGTGGTGACCTCCAGCATGTCTTCTGATTGGACGGATGGGATGTCGTGGATTAGGAGGGACAGAGCGAGGACCGAAGGCTGGACAGAGGAGACAGAAGAGACATGAAAACACACAATGGTCCCTTTGGTCCCTTTGTCAGAGCAGCAGAAACACATCCATCCATACAAGTTGTTAGCAAATACTGACACATTTACAGCAATGTTGATTCATGTGTATGGTCCCTATTCAAATAAACATATAAATAAAATAAACATTAATCATTACTACAGCCAATCAGAGAGGTTCACTGACCAATGAGTGGACTGTGTACTGTTAGTTTCTTACAGTTTTTCGGTGTTTAAACTCACCGAAACTGTTTGAATAGCTGGTGTTTGTGTAGAGCTTACCTTGGCTTTGGAGAAAGAGAATCGGCACAGACAGGCTTTGAGCTGCGCCTCCAGCTTCTCCAGGCTCAGGACGTCTCGCCTGAGAAGCACACCATTCATTTACTCATTTATGCCTGAAGTCAGTAGCTTTACAGAGGCATATAGAGAGGGGTATGTATGTATACTGAGACAGAGGTATGTATGTATACTGAGACAAAGGTAGGTATACTGAGACAGAGGTATGTATACTGAGACAAAGGTAGGTATGTATGTATACTGAGACAAAGGTCTGTATGTATACTGAGACAGAGGTATGTATACTGAGACAGGTCTGTATGTATACTGAGACAAAGGTCTGTATGTATACTGAGACAGAGGTATGTATACTGAGACAGGTATGTATGTATACTGAGACAAAGGTCTGTATGTATACTGAGACAGAGGTATGTATACTGAGACAGGTATGTATGTATACTGAGACAAAGGTCTGTATGTATACTGAGACAGAGGTATGTATACTGAGACAGGTCTGTATGTATACTGAGACAAAGGTCTGTATGTATACTGAGACAGAGGTATGTATACTGAGACAGGTCTGTATGTATACTGAGACAAAGGTCTGTATGTATACTGAGACAGAGGTATGTATACTGAGACAGAGGTCTGTATGTATACTGAGACAAAGGTCTGTATGTATACTGAGACAGGTCTGTATGTATACTGAGACAGGTCTGTATGTATACAGAGACAAAGGTCTGTATACAGAGACAGAGGCATGTATACTGAGACCGGGGTAAGATGATAAGATACAGTAAGATAAGTATGTACAACAAAAAAGTGTCAAGTGTCAATTGGAAACTGTCAATAGTAGTGCAGGTTTTCACACAGTGACCATTTAAAGTGACTTATTGTACAGTCTGACAGCGGTGGGGATAAAGGCCCTGCGGTAGCGCTCCTTCCTACAGTGAGGGTGTCTCAGTCTTCCACTGAAGGAGCTCCTCAGCTCCTCTACAGAGTCCAGGGGCCTCCTGTCCCTCAGCTCCTCCACAGAGTCCAGGGGCCTCCTGTCCCTCACCTCCTCCACAGAGTCCAGGGGCCTCCTGTCCCTCACCTTCTCCACAGAGTCCAGGGGCCTCCTGTCCCTCACCTCCTCCACAGAGTCCAGGGGCCTCCTGTCCCTCACCTCCTCTACAGAGTCCAGGGGCCTCCTGTCCCTCAGCTCCTCCACAGAGTCCAGGGGCCTCCTGTCCCTCACCTCCTCCACAGAGTCCAGGGGCCTCCTGTCCCTCACCTTCTCCACAGAGTCCAGGGGCCTCCTGTCCCTCACCTCCTCCACAGAGTCCAGGGGCCTCCTGTCCCTCACCTCCTCTACAGAGTCCAGGGGCCTCCTGTCCCTCACCTCCTCTACAGAGTCCAGGGGCCTCCTGTCCCTCACCTCCTCCACAGAGTCCAGGGGCCTCCTGTCCCTCACCTCCTCCACAGAGTCCAGGGGCCTCCTGTCCCTCACCTCCTCCACAGAGTCCAGGGGCCTCCTGTCCCTCACCTCCTCCACAGAGTCCAGGGGCCTCCTGTCCCTCACCTCCTCCACAGAGTCCAGGGGCCTCCTGTCCCTCACCTCCTCCAGAGTCCAGGGGCCTCCTGTCCCTCACCTCCTCCACAGAGTCCAGGGGCCTCCTGTCCCTCACCTCCTCCACATAGTCCAGGGGCCTCCTGTCCCTCAACTCCTCCACAGAGTCCAGGGGCCTCCTGTCCCTCACCTCCTCCACAGAGTCCAGGGGCCTCCTGTCCCTCACCTCCTCCACAGAGTCCAGGGGCCTCCTGTCCCTCACCTCCTCCACAGAGTCCAGGGGCCTCCTGTCCCTCACCTCCTCCACAGAGTCCAGGGGCCTCCTGTCCCTCACCTCCTCCACAGAGTCCAGGGGCCTCCTGTCCCTCACCTCCTCCACAGAGTCCAGGGGCCTCCTGTCCCTCACCTCCTCCTGACCAGCTTGTTCAGTCTGTTCCTGTCCCGCTCTGTGCTGCCCGGGGCCCAGCACACGGCAGCGTAGTAAATGGCAGAAGCTACCACAGAGTCATAAAAAGTCCTGAGCAGAGGCCTGCTCACTCAGAAGGACCTCAGCCTCCTCAGAAGGACCTCAGCCTCCTCAGAAGGACCTGAGCCTCCTCAGAAGGACCTGAGCCTCCTCAGAAGGACCTCAGCCTCCTCAGAAGGACCTGAGCCTCCTCAGAAGGACCTCAGCCTCCTCAGAAGGACCTCAGCCTCCTCAGAAGGACCTCAGCCTCCTCAGAAGGACCTCAGCCTCCTCAGAAGGACCTCAGCCTCCTCAGAAGGACCTCAGCCTCCTCAGAAGGACCTCAGCCTCCTCAGAAGGACCTCGGCCTCCTCAGAAGGACCTCGGCCTCCTCAGAAGGACCTCAGCCTCCTCAGAAGGACCTCAGCCTCCTCAGAAGGACCTCAGCCTCCTCAGAAGGACCTCAGCCTCCTCAGAAGGACCTCAGCCTCCTCAGAAGGACCTCAGCCTCCTCAGAAGAAAGAGGCGACTTTGGCCCTTCTTGTGCAGGGTGTTTGTATTATGGACCAGTCCAGTTTATTGTTAATGTGAACACCCAGGTACTTGAAGCTGTCCACCAGCTCAATGTCCTCCCCCTGGATGTTCAGCAGCGTGTGGGAAAGTGGTTTTCTCCTGAAGTCGATGATCATCTCCTTGGTCTTACTGGTGTTCAAGCACAAGTGGTTGCGCTCACACCAGTCGACAAAGTCCTTGATAACCGACCGATATTCCAGTTCGTTCCCCTCAGACACACAGCCCACGATGGCGGAGTCGTCGGAGAACTTCTGCAGGTGACAGCTGTGTGTGTCGTGTGTGAAGTCTGAAGTGTAGATGGTGAAGAGAAACGGTGAGAGGACAGTGCCCTGAGGGGCCCCAGTGCTGCAGACGACCACCTCAGACTCACAGCTGCGCAGCCGCACGTACTGTGGTCGCTCTGAGAGGTAGTTGATGGTCCATGCAGTGAGGTAGTTGATGGTCCATGCAGTGAGGTAGTTGATGGTCCATGCAGTGAGGTAGTTGATGGTCCTGCAGTGAGGTAGTTGATGGTCCATGCAGTGAGGTAGTTGATGGTCCATGCAGTGAGGTAGTTGATGGTCCATGCAGTGAGGTAGTTGATGGTCCATGCAGTGAGGCTACTGTCCACTCCCGCGTCCTCCATCTTCCCCCGCAGCAGTGCCGGTCTGATGGTATTGAAAGCACTGGAGAAGTCAAAAAACATGACCCTCACAGCGCCCCCTGCAGGCTCCAGGTGGGAGAGCGTCCGCTGCAGGAAGTAGATGACGGCGTCCTCTACTCCGATGTTGGGTCTATGGAAGTCCCTGTTCTGAAATGGGCTGGCAGTCTAATGAGTTTTAAAAGCACTGAAATAATTAATGATGTTAATGTTCTGTGATCTTGTTGCCTCGTGTATGTACAGGTCCCAAACTGGTGGTGACCACAGAAACTAAAATAACAGACTACAATCTGTAAAAATAAGGAAAAGTCTTGGAGGAAACCATGGGTGATGCTGAGGAAAGCCCGCGAAACACTATTGGGACTCAGCCGCTAGCATTAGCACCGTTAGCTCCCTCGGCCGTTACACACATTAAACATATAAAACTGCTGTCAACGGTTTCACAAAGTATCTAATCTTATATAATTCATTACCACAGGTTCCCTCGGGCGTAGAGCTTTCATGTGTGGCGTTTTTAGCCAAATACTAACCTGTGAAAATAAAGTTACGTCTCTGCTTCTCCTCTAGAGACCGTATCTTAGGGGTCACGGTCAATGCAGTCCCCCTACTACATCCGAGAATGACAACAGTTCCTACTATATTTCTCTGTACTTCCCAAGACTACTTCTACTAAAAACAAACTGATTATTCACTAAATTACGGACATATAATTGCTCAAATAGAGATTTAAACAAAATCTACCTTGTCCATTGCTGTAACAATGCAACACAAACGTGGTCACACATATTTGGGTGTCCCACATATGAACTGTGGCGGCGCTGACTCTGCACTAATTATAATAGTATTCATAAAAACATAACATGAACTCTGAGCATTTAGAGATTTAGAGTTATTCAGGAGCTAAACAGTGACCTAACATTTCAGAGAGTGACTCAGAGCCGGAGGCCACTGTGACCCGCAGACCAGTGTCAGCGGGTCACAGTCTGAGACACACACTGAGACACACACTGAGACACACACTGAGACACACACTGAGACACACACACACACACACTGAGACTCACACTGAGACACACGCTGACACACACTGAGACACACACTGAGACACACACACACACACACTGAGACTCACACTGAGACACACGCTGACACACACTGAGGCACACACACACACTGAGACACACACTGACACACACACACTGAGACACACACACACACTGAGACACGCACACACACTGAGATACACACTGAGACACACACACACACACACGGAGACACACACTGACACACACACACACACTGAGACACACACTGACACACACACACACTGAGACACACACAGTAGCACATTAACACAAATATCAACACAAACTGACCTTCTCTGGGTTCATGAGGGAACGCACACTGAAGCTCATGCACCCCAACAGGACGCTGACCCTGAGACACACACAGTAACACACACAATAATACACAATAATACACACAGAGACAAACACAGTGACACACACAGATACACACTCAGTAACTCACACAGATACACATACAGTAACACAAAGACACACACACAGTCACACACACGCACACATATACACACAGACGCACACATATTCATACACATTCTGGTTTTGCGCGGTGGTTAGCTTTAGCTTCACCGCAAGAAGTTCCTGGGTTCAATTCCACCGCTAGACCTTTCTGTGTGGAGTTTGCATGTTCTCTCTGTGTCTGCGTAGGTTTCCTCCTGGTGCTCCGGTTTCCCCTACCCCAAAAAACATGTACAGTAGATCTGACATGTGAGAGACAAATGTAACAATAATTGTAAAGCGCTTTGTGACTGGTCTGTGAAAGGCGCTATATAAATAAATATTACTCACATACTGCACTTTGAAATGCCTCGT